CATTTGACACAAAAACATTTTCTTTTTAGCTCAAGAAAGCGTTTACCCGGAAGAGCTATTAATTTCGTTTTGGCATTTTGCGTAGAAAACTTTAAATATCCGTTTCACTTTTCAAATTGTTGCCACCAAATATTATCGCCCTGTGTTATATTTAAAGAAATTAAATAGTGGAGAATCTGCATAAATGTATCTGTATTTCTCGCATTGTGATAAAACTGCGGAACCTAGAGCCATTCAATTTTGAATAATGTTTGTCTCCACCGAATATGTGTTATGTCTCCACTTGGAAGTCTAAATTTGGAATCTGGAATTTGTTTTATTATCCATTTCATATTTTGTAAAACATTTATAAGTTTTTGGATTAAGAAACTCAACTGTTTCAAAGCGACCATTGGCAACTCTATACCGGGGGGGGGGAGAATCTCCAGCTCGTGAGACTGTATATCCGAAATTCTAATGATGTGCTATTTTATACAATACCGCTGTAGAATTGAATTTTATGATTTAAGTGCGAAGAACATATTTAATAAATAAAGGTTAAAAGAGAAAACGTTAAAAAAACGCCGTTTTGGGAATAACATAAAATCTGAAAGCTTTAGATTTTTTCAACTCTAAAGTTTAATTTTTCTTAAATAATGAAGATTGTATACTTGCTAGTATGTAACGGAGTGTAACGTTAGGTAAAAATAAAAAGTTTCTCTGTATAAATGCTAAAGCTTGAAAATCTTTGAAACTATTGAAATTGTATGAAATGCAAGTATGAGATACTGAGACTTAAAAGTTTTAATAATTGGTAGAACTGAATTAACTCTGCCATGTTAATTTTAAATATAAATTTATTATACTTATTTTCAGTCAAACCCAAGCTGTGAGAAATATAAATTTAAAATAAATATTTTAATGTTAATTTACAATAATAAACACCTGATTATTATTTTAGGTAGAAAATGGTAAATACACGTAGACTAATACACGTACTAATGGTAAATAACACGTACTAATACACGTACTAATGGTAAATACGAGACTCCATTGTGACATCACAAGCTTAGTTCCACCTATCTGTGACGTCACTAAGTTCCGCCTTTGTAATTTTAGTCTGTTCTGAGCTTTTACTCAAATGTTCTTAATGTAGTTATAATTAATTCTGTAACTCTTAACCTCTAAAATTTATTCATTGCGTAATCATTCTCAGAAATAGAAACTATTTTTTTGTAATTAAATTTTTAAATCTTAACTGCCTAACTGTGAACTGTCAAAACTGTAAACTGTCTAATCATTCTCAAAATTACAAACTCTCAGTTATTTACTGGTTAAACTATGGACTCTTAATCCTCTAATTATGTTAATTGACTCAAATAATCAGCTGGTCGCGCAAGCGGGTAGTATAATTTATAAATTTAATTTTTCATGTTGTAATTTTTTTTTTTTTTTTCTTCTGTGTTTGAATTTCATTTATGTTTATCTAGAAAAGTCGTCCATGGGAATCGGAAACAAGTCCTGTCTGGATTTTAAGCTCAATGAAGATAGATCTGTCAGTATTAATCAGTTAGCGAGAGGTAAGTGCAAAACAACCCCCAATCCATTTTTAATAATATGATAAGTTTTATTCAGGTTTTAATAGATATTAGCTGCCCCCAACTGAAGCAAAATTCATTTTTATGTACACTAAAATATTTACACTTTTACACTTTATTTACACTTTTATGTACACATTTTTATGTAGCGGGGGGGGGGGAGAACACCATTATATCTCCCGTTCTATTGGGTCGATTGACGAAATTCAAATTGCATTTTTCATATCTCGAAAGCACGACTTAGGATTTAGTATATTAGCTTTGTTCTAATTTTTTGACACAAAATCGAACTTTTTCTGAAATAACATGCCGATTTTTTTCCATATTTCGATTCTACGGCTCATATTATGCCTAAATATTAAATTTTGTAACATTTAGTGCTAAATTTGTAGAGAAATTCCAGAATTTGTCTTGGCGTTTTTTTCAGTTTGCGTCAATAATAATTCATTTGGCGAATTTCTTAATTTATAGCAACTTATTTTCCTTTCCTTATTTTTCATTGTACACGAGCGGTAAAATGGTCATAGTTCATACTTTCGAATAATTTCAACAAAGTGCGTAAACCACGTTTGGCGTTTATACCAAATTTCGAAAAGCGCCAGTATGTAAATTCGTGTATATTTTAGGAAATTATGAATAAAAAATTCTAATTTTTTTGCAAATATGCTTAGAAATATATTTCCATGAAGATGATGGTAAAATTTTTATAGGTTGTAATTCAACATTTTTTTCAAAAAATTAAATAAAATATTTAATAAATAAATTACAAAAAATGGGCGAATTTTATTTCGAACGAACCTAAATTTCGAATTCTAGAAGAAGGAATGAAGTAAGTTTAATAAAAAAAGAGAAATATTAGTAAATATATATCAAATTCAATTAGCATGTTATTTGGAATTTACCTAAATTTCGAATTCTAGAAGAAGGAATCAAGTAAGTTTAATAAAAAAAAGAGATATTAATAAATATATATCAAATTCAATTAGCATGGAGAAGCTAAAATTTTGAGAGCTGATTTTTTAAAAACTAATTTTTACAAAACTTGGCAGTTTGGCATAATATAAGTCGTAGAATCGAGATATGGAAAAAAATTGGCGTGTCATTACACAAAAAGTTCGACTTTTTGTCGAAATATCTATATTAGAACAATGATACATATAAATCTAATACATATCCTAAGTCGCGCTTTCGAGACATGACAAATGTAATTTGAATTTCGGGCCCACCAGCGGCCGAGCGGTAAAGTCGCTGAGCACTGGCAGTTCGGTCCGAGGTTCGAATCCCGCGAAAGGGCTGGTTGGATTGGCGTTTTCGTGGTTTTCCCCATATGTAACGTGTATACGAGCCAGTTTTCCTTAGAAAGTCCTCCACGAAGGCATCTCTTCCCTTAGGCAGATAGCCCTAGTGTGCTTTGCCATAATTAAATAAATCAAACCAATTTGAATTTCGTCAATCGGCTCAGTAGAACGGGAGATATAGAACGGTCCTCCTTTTTTTTTGGGGGGGGGGCAGTATACATCTTAAAAGAATATGTATAAAAACATATTAGTGTGAATGAAATCAGTCCTGTATATACCTGAAAAAAATTATGCGACATTTGTGAAGATATTTTATATTTTAACGAAAAACAAAATTATCTTTAAAATCCACAATTTTTAAGAAAATTTTATGAAAAATATCACTGTGAAAAAGCAGATAAAACTTGATGGAAGAATAAACGGACCGCGCGATTCTATAAAAACTTTACTCTTATCTCTATTGGCAATTTTAAAATTCCACCTCGCACGCGCTTCGACGCAGCTCTCCGAACAGCAAAAAAAGCAGCTTGCAGAGTGCCAAAATTCGCATTTCCAGATATATAAATTAATATATCGTCTGATTAAAGCTATACAAAGGTAAGAATAATCGAAATGGCTTTCTACGAATTTTTGGAGTCCGGGGAGTACCTTTTTCGAAACTCAACTCACCGTCTTTCCGGAACACATCCGACTGTATGGAGTTGGATGTGGTTCCGGAACAGATGTCACAAAAAGACAGGCGTAGTGCAAATTTTCTTGAACAGATATATGTAATTGTTAGGAACAGCTTATTATTTCTTACAGTATCCGTGGATTATTTTTGTTTTTAACTGAGAATCGAAGAACGAGAATTAGTGATCTGTTGATAATTTTTGATCCGAGAATAGCAAAAAAACGTTAATCGTTATTGACGCGCGGTTTTAAAGATGCAACGAAACGTTTATTCATCCCAGCATCGCAAGATATGTGGATTTTTGATCCGAGAATTTCAGGATTTTTAGATTTTTTTATTATTATTCTTGGATTATTTTAATCCGAGAATGGTAAGAAGAATCTTCTGATTCTCAATTCGATAATTAGATCCGTGTAAAATTTTTGCTCGCGAATCACAGGAGCTATGGAACATTTTTGCTACAGGACTCAAAAGATCTACGGATGATTTTGGGATCCGAGGATTATGGTATCAGTAGATTATTAATTGATCCGAGGATAACTTTGTCCAAGAACTATAGGATCCGTGCCTTATTTTTATCTTTTGATCATTTTTTGATGCACGTATACCATGATTCTCGTATTCAGAATTTCTGCTCGGAGTGATTATCTTTTATGCGAGAATCACAGAACCCATGGATCTTTTCTGATCCCGTGATCACAGGTTCTATAAATCATTGTTTCGAGGATTAGAAGATCCGTGCATTATTTTTGATCCGAGGATCATAAGATTTCAGAACTACAGGATCCGAGGATTATTTTTTGGATACAAGAATTATTTTTCATCCGGGAATGGTAGGACGAGTCCTCCGTATTCTCTTCTCCGATCCAGAATTAGATCCGTGTATCGATTTTCATTCAGGGATCAAAGGATGCAAGCATCATTTTCTGATCCGATGATCACAATATCAATGCATTTGTTTTGATCCAAGAATCTGAGGGTGAATTCTATTGTTCTCGTATCGAGATTCGAGACTGGGCGATAATTTTTATCCGAGAATCATAGGACATGTGCATCATTTTTGATCCGGGGACTAAAGGTTACTTGAATCATTTTTACCTGAGGATCGCAGGATTCGCAGATTTTTTTATCGAAGAATGACATAATCCGAGACTTTAAGGATGCTTGGATCATTTATATATTCGTGGATTATTTTTTATTTTGTTCCGAGAATTCTTCGCTTCATCCTCGCTAACCGTTCCCGACCCCACAGCTTTTTATTATTAGTGAACAGATAATCCCCCCCCCCAAAAAAATGTCATTGAGTGAAAAGTTCTGAGCTGATTCCATAAAAGGAGATTTGCCGATCTCGATAATGGACGTGAGTGTTTTTAAGTCTATATATAGCATCTTGAATATAATGCATTTAGTAAGACAAGAGCACGGTTATGAAACGTATTTTATTTAATTGTATATATATATATAACAAACAACATAAGCACATTAATTACATAAAAATAATTATATACAAAATACATTCTGCAATTCACACATTATATAAAAAATATTTTCTCACAGCAACCTATTCAAGACATATGGACGTGTGTATAAATGCCCTTTGGCTAATACATTTATTGCAAATAATAGGCATTTTTCACTTCATAAAAGTGATGTTCGTCCCTTTTTTTTTAATCATATTTACACTTTAGATCTGGCATAATCGTCAACGCTCATTTCTCGCCAAAAAGTAAGTTTAAGAATTAATTTGAAATTTGATAATTATTATACATTAGTATATTCTAAGCTAAATTTTCTTGTAGACACCCCCCCCCAAAAAAAAATTGAAATTTCATACTTAGTTTTTTTTTAATTTGAATTGAATTAAAAAAATGTAAATTGGAATATTTCAAATTTTATGATAAAATTATAAATTTGAATCACTTTTGAAATTAGAATTTTAAAATATTTAGAACCCAGAAGCTCAGAATTATATGGAAATAAATAACTTTTCTGCTATTTTCATGCAAATAAATTTACTTACTAAAAAATATTTTAAATTTGACAAAAGTTACAAATTTAAGTAATTTTTGGAATTTGAATTAGAAATTTTAAACTTTTAGAGAACAGAAGTAAGAAAGATTGTGGAAATATAAACTTTTACGCTATTTTCATACACGCAAATTAAGACTAACTTTAATTTCTAAAAAAATACTTTTTTTTAGCTTTGTGAAAAGTTAAAAATTTGAAAATATTTTTAAAATAGAAATGAGAAAATATTTAAAACACATTTAAAATAAATAACTTTTACAATATTTTCATTTAAATAAAATGTAGTTGTTAAAATGTTAAAAACTTATTACTTTAACTCTTCATTAACTTAAACAAAAGTATCCATTATGTTTCATTACTTTAGCATAAATCATTTTACTGAAAATTTTTCGAAGCAAATTAACTTTAGTCGAGTAACGGGTATTCCACGCAAAACGCGAGGACAATATAATTTTTAAAGTTAAAAGTAAATAACATTATCACTAAAAATAATCTATAATCGCTTTAATGACAAATGTCTTTGTGCTGGAATATGCATTAATTAATAACACAGTGAACATTTCATCCTATAATAATAATATATCACGTAACGCCATCTTGTGTTTGTATCTTGTGTTGCCTTTTTTATATGTCAAAAAATACATTTTAATAGGAAGTACACAAAATGGCGCTATATGATATATGGATAATCATAGAAGTGAGGACTTTCTACCTCTGTGCGGATTACAACAATTGAAAAGACAGGAGAATGAACACAGATATTTCTTTCATAAAGTCCATCATGAATTGCACTTTTAATAGTCAAAGCGGCATCGTACCCGATGCTGTCTTTTCGTGGCACTCAATCGTCTTGCAGACGATCAGTAGTAGAATATAAAATGAATAAACAGTTTGAAGCAATTGGTTTCAAAATGCTTGTTCACTTCAAAAATCTTCATTTCTGCCTTGACTTTCACAGCTGGAAATTTGCTACGGAATTATTGCTGAAATTGTCTTGTCGGAAGCCTTTGTTTGAGCGTAACGTATGGTGGGAATATTCAGAATAGTGATCCGAATCGACACCAGGTGGCATCACCATCACAGGTTGAATGTTGGTGGATTTCCTGGATGGAGTTGACTGGTTATCAGCAATAAAAGCGGTATTCACTTCACCTGAAAAGAAAAACAGAATTTAATTTAATGAATTGTGTAATGAATGCATGTTACCGGGACCGGATTCAGAAATGTGTGCATGTATGTATTGATGTATGTGCGGATATAAGCACATACACACGTGCATACATACATACATACATTTCTGAATGCGATCCCGATAGCAGAAAAGCACCAAATTATCTACGATTTTCAGTTAATAAAGAATGATTAAGAGGTCTTTATATAATAACAACAGAAAGAAGGATTGCATGTTCTTTGAACACTACAAAATTAATTAAAATATTTGTTGCTAAAAAAAATTTAAATTTAAATTTATATCAAGGGGCAATTTTTAACGTTTTTGTGTTACATTTACGTATTAAATATGTTCTTCGCTCTTAAACCATAAAATTCAGTTCAACAGCAATATCAAAAAATATTTAAAAGAGGGTATCTTTAGAATTTCCATTACGGTTTCGCGCGCTAGAGATGGTTTCTTTCCCCCGCACAGTGTTGCCATTGCTCGCTTTGAAATCGTTGAGTTTGTTAAAAAATTCTTTAATGTCTGACAAAAAATGAAATCTACATATATATAAAAGGAAGAGTCTTTGGTGTCCTTAAGTGTTTATGTGTCTTTCGTTGATGCTACGATATTGCTGAATTGAAGTGAATTTTATGGTTTAAGTGCGAAGCATATGTTTAATAAATAAAGGTAACACAGAAAATGTTAAAGTTGAAACTTTCAGTTCTTTTTAAATTTAAATCTGTAGCCTTTACCTTTATAATGAAGTGTGCCGACTGAACAAAAACATGAAATTACAATTTACGAAGTAATTTTATTAAGTTCAATAAGTTTCATCGAAGTAATTTTTTAATTTTAATCCGTAGCCATTTCGTTTATAGTGAATTGTATTTTCAATGTGAAATTTTTGATATGATGTGAGAGGCCATCGGTTAGCCCTAATTCGGTAGCTTCGCAACGAAAAATAAAACATTTTTTTTTGTTGGGGGGGGGGGGGGGGAGTTCTTAAGTAATTTGTTCTTTGCAAGAAGTAATGGCACCAGTATACCAAACAATGCGCATAAAAATATAAAAATAATTAAGAAAACTCATTTCAATAGCTGTGAAACTATCATAAAATGAAGTAAAAAAAAAAACTTCAGCCTCCAATGTAATTACGACCAGATCCGGGTAATTGCTTTAGGACTGGTAAGTGAAACCAGTTCTGCACCTAAAGTCGACACTTGGGATTCATTGCATAATGAAGTACAATTGTTTTTCGTGTTACATTATTCGAAGATGTTTCTGTAACGTCTTCCTTGTGTAACATTATATAATTAATTTTGTAAATCTCATGATATTAGCAGATTTATCAAAATAGCCTTTCTTTATTGCATTCCTTGATCGAAATAAATCGGAGCTCACATAAAACATGTATTTTAAATAGGAGGTTAGCTCGATATTCTTACACGATATTTGCTTAAAATGAAATTGCTGATTTATTTTTAGAGTAGATGCACTCACTACATTAGAGAGTTACAATGAAACAATGTTTGCCATTTAACAGTTGTATACCTTGCAAAAATGAGAAAAAATAAGAACAGTTCTATATCTCTCGTTCTACTGGACCGATTCTCGAAATTTAACTCGCGTTTTCCCCGACTCTTAAGATATATATTAGATTTATATACAGCAGCCGAGTACGTACGTACGTATCTCGCTTAACTCAAAAACAAGTAGCCTCAGAACGTTGAAATTTTGTATGTAGGACTGCTATAACATGTAGATGTGCACCTCGTTGTTTGGTTGCAATCGGCAGCACCGAACGTATATAAATATATTTATATCCACTCTGTTACCCGGCTCAGTGATCTCAGTTTCTTTACTCTTATATGTTTGTAAATTGTACATTTTTTTGGTTTAAAAATGATTGAATCATGTTGTTTTGATCTTCCGGTTAATGTTTTTATGCCTTTAGTAAATCCGTGTGCAATATTTTTAAAGTACAAGTTCTAATTGAATTTTTTCCTCTTGCTTTGGGGAAAGGCTAGAATTTTCGGGTGAATTATTATAATTAAAATACATTGAAATGGTTCATTGGCTTATTCTGGATACAGAAAAGCAGGGAGTTTTGTAGAAGAGAGATTTTAATGCTCCTTTACACTGATGAAGTGGCATTGAAAAATTGATTGAGTTAATCTTATGCTCGTTTTTCTTTGAATTTCTTTAAGGAGTTTTTTTGAATTGGGGTGTTGATTGGTTAAAAATGTTGGTTTTTACATTAATTAAATTCTTTGTTGCATTTATTAGATTATTTAAAATTTATTAATTATGAATTTCAAAATTTTCGCCTTGTGAAACATTAGTTCTAAATTACTTTGTCTTTAATGATCATTTTCTGCAGCGCGAAAGTACTTATATTTTCTTTTAAAAATTGTTTTGCAATTATATATATATGTTTGGTTCTGCCAATGGGAATAAGAAAGGGAGGTGCACCACTAGATGTTATAGCGTTCCCATATAAAAAATTTTAATCTTCTATGGCTAATCTTTTTTAAGTTCTGAGATATATGTGCTACCGTGAAAGACCGAAATTGGAGAATGTCGACTTTCACCGGAGAATATCAACATTCACCAAATACGTCGGTGAAAGACCGAATATTTCACTACATTCTTGTATATTTGGACCCTCACCGGTATGTCGACAATCACAGATACGCTCTGGTGAAAGTCGAAAAGAGAGGTCATAAAGTGCCATAATAGTTTAAGTTGTTGCAATAAATAAGATTTGAATCACATAATTTAGTAAGTTTTTTATGACTGTTATTTTATTTTCTCATTTAGAACGTACTGTATAATTAAGTAAGTTTTTAACTTCTATTATTTCCCCTTCTCATTTTGAATGTATTGTGTGTTTTAGGTTCTCATGTTCTTAAGTTCTTATTTCAAGTCTCAAGTGCGTTTATTCGCAACTGAATGACGGAGAAGAAACTATAATATTGTTATGTGTTCAACATTCACCATTAGTACATGGTGAAAGTCGACATTGACCCGTGTAAGTCAGAAATAAGAGTATTTGGAAAATATTTCGGACATACACCAAGAGACTATGTTGACATTCACCGGTGAAAGTCGACATTCTCCAGATTTCGGTGTTTCACCGTAACATATGCATACATACGCACGTGCGTACACTGCAAAAAGAAAAAAAAAGGACAGATCAACTGGGCCGCTTAACAAAAATTCAGGTGGCATTTTTCATGTCTCGAAAGCGCGACTTAAGATACGTATAAGATTTATATATAGCCTTTTTATAATATAGGTATTTTGAGACAAAATCGGACTTTTTCTGAAATGATATGCTAAACTCTTTTCTTCTTCGCAAGCATGCAAAAAAACTCGGTTTTATATTTGATTGTTGTTCTTAGTTAAGTATCGATTGCATCAAATATGAAGCAGTGACTTGTGATAATGCCAACGATTCTTCAAGAGATAAATATTTGAAAACTGGGTTAGATATAAACAACCTGACTGAGTTCTTGCAAATGTATTCAAAAACGAAAACTACCAGCAATGAGTGCGGTTATAATATGCCTCATCCCTGCATAATAATTGCATTTACCTCAGACGTTATGTACTCAGAATGATGCATTAGATAGATAAGCGGACAAATATTGTACTATACTGTCATTAGACTAGCTTTCATTCGGTAACTAATTTAAATATTTTAACTGTTTTCATTTTATTCCATGTAGGAAATAACACCGTGCTTTGCATATTTGAGATCAAAATCCGAAAAATTATTCTTAGAATGTATAACTCAAAACTGCATATTTTATATCTCTATCAGTTGTTGCCAGGTAAGAATACTCTTCTTTTTTTGCGATGTTTACTCTATCTCCGTACCTCGAGGTGAATAACGAAAGAGTGCTGAAGTCGTATGTTTAAGAATTGATGTCGTATGTTTAATATTGAAAGCTTTATATTAATTATGTAAATAAAAGCCACATAATGTACGTTAAAATTACAACATAAATTTGTATAGTTCGGGAAGGGAAGGGTTTGCTTTTATTTAATTACGGCAAAGCACACTAGGGTATCTGCGTAAGGGGAGGACTGCCTTCGTGGAGGTCTTTCTAAGGTGGTGGTGTATTTAATTATGGCTATCTGCCTAAGGGAAGGGATGCCTTCGTGGAGGACTTTCTAAGGGAAACTGGCTCGTATACACGTTACACATGGGGAAAACCACGAAAACGCCCATGCAGCCAGCCCGTTCGCGGGATTCGACCCTCGGACTGAACTACCAGTGTTCAGCGACTTTAACGCTCGGCCGCTGGTGGGCGGTCTTTTTAAGGGAATTGGCTCGTATACACTTTACACACGGGGAAAGCAATGAAAACGCCCATCCAGCTAGCCTGTTCGATGAATTCGAACCTCAGACCAACTACCAGTGTTCAGCGACTTTACTGCTCGGCCGCTGGAGGGCCACGTAGTAATCAGGTTGACATAAAAATTGAAAAATGTGCCAAAATAATGACATACGTCATGATACATTTATTTTGATTAAAGGTTTCGCGCTACAACATACAGCACGTTGCTGCTACTTACAGATGAGTTCACCCATAATTCTCATTTAAATATTCACTTCCTACTATTATTATGGGACAGAGATTGTTTAATAAATAGGCTTAGAGAGGCTTGGGGCACATTCTGCTTTAATCGACCTTCGTATCGAGTATGCGTTTTCAAATAGAACGTTTAATCACTCAGGAAGAAAAAAAGCAATTATACGGATTATATTGCCTGCAAAATTAAGTTTGATTAAATTATGTGTAAGGCCATAATGCCAAACGTGGTGAAGTGCTTTTGGACGGTTAAGGCTTGTGAGCGCTTTGCGGAGGAGCTTTTGGGTAGTGTTCAGTTTTAATATGAATCCAAATTGCTCATTTTCGGATAGGGAGAAGGTTGGTTGGTTTATGTGAGTAACGCGAAGGATGCCTTCGTAGAGGCATTTCAA